AAATACAGGCGTATGTAAAAGAATATGGCATCTGCTAATGTGGAAGAACGAGAATCACATTAATTAAATAAGGTTTGACCATGAACTATTGAGATATGAATGTTACTTTATGAGAGAGAAGAGGAACGACTGTACAGCATGAATAAAGAAGTACATCTGATTAGGTAAAAATAACGACAAGATTCAGATTCAGGCTGCAATTAATTCTAAATTAATTCTAAGTTCTTGCAGGACATACGCTGTGGAGAAACAGAAGCATAGTGACTAGGAGAACTAGCAAGAGGAACTGTGAGGAAAAATATAAATAAAAAAGTTAAGAGGTCAAGACGAAACAATTTAGGTTTGATTTCAAAAACATTTTCTATAGATTGAACTGAAAGGAAAAGTATCCTTAAGATTTAAAGCATTTAAAGAACCTGAGTCTTATTTTGCTGATAGCTGGTTGTCATGATCTCCAGATTTGACGAAGCAACTCAGAACTCTTCCTGCCCAGCTCACTAACCGTTACACCAGATATGGTCTCCCAAAAGAAGAACATCTGAATAAGTGCAAATATTGAAACTTTTGGCAATTTGGTCAAACACGGAGCAGATTGCCCAGACAGGTTGTGGAATCGTCATCTTTGATGGATATTCAAAAAAAAAAAAAGATATTATATTAATTGTGTTACGTTATGTTATGTTATTCATGTTGATACTAAAAACTCATTTGGATAAGTCCATGAGTAGCCTAATCTACGCTGGTACTGCTTCAAGCAGGAGGTTGGACTAGATGAGCTCCAGAGGTCCCTGTCAGGCTAAATTATTCTATGATTCTGTTTGGATCTTCTTTCCCGAAAGGCTCTCAGATGTCATCAAAGAGAGCAACATGGGCTGTAATAACTGTTTTGACATACCATTTCTGGACAAGAAGCTGAGAGTTGAATAGTCCAGACTTAGTACAGCTGTGCATCCTTTGTTAATTTTGGTTGCACCTGCCCCAGGGAACCATATCTGACATTTAGCCACGGACACTGATCTATATGTATACTACTCACTAGGCATTTATATCACGTGGTGGGCAACCGTGCTAGTGGGAAGGGCCACTGAATTCAAACTTTGACCAACAGGTTGGGCATTACACTGAGCTACTGTATAAAAGGCAGACATAGGTGTATCACTTCGTGCTGCATTCAAAAAAGGATTGTTTTCAAAGGTATCTTATTGATAACTGTTCTCAAGAGAAAATTTTATGTTTTAGATCCTAACATGAAAATGAAGGCTATTGCTATTATGAAATTACCAACAGGCTCTTATGAAAAAATTGGCTGGCATCAGCCCCAGTTTTACCAGCAATCTTGTGTTTGAAACAATTGTTACCACCCAAAGGACTCTAAATCCAAATTTGACACAGACAGCCAGCCCCCGGGAAGATAAATGAATTCAGACACCTACCCATCTTCATGATTTTCTATGGGTTAATGTGGACATGTTGATATTTGTGGTGTTCTAGTTGTGCCTAGCTTGGACTTATAAAATCCCCTCTGAGACTGAAGCATGTGAAAAATACTGAGAGTCATCATTTCTAAATTCTTCTGTAGTTTCATCCCTAGAGCATGTTATTTTAAATAAATTTTAAATATGTCATTCTGATAGAAATGAATTCAATTAAATACACTGGAAGCCATTAATGTAATGCATTGAATCTTCTAGCATTTCCAATTTTTTTGAAAAGTTATTATTTTCATAATCATTATGTACATGAGAGGCCTGCAAGTCACAAAGGTATAGAAAAATCCATTCATCCTCCCTACCCACCGAAAACTAGTTAGAATATACAGTCTACCTCTTGCTTTGGAAAAGACCAAAAAAAAGGACTAAAGCTAAACCTAGAGCAATATATATAACTTCTCTTTGCTTTTTTGTTTTTGCATTGTTCCATGATGGTTTATGATACGTTAGTTTTTGACTTGCAGTCAAGGCTGGCTTCTATTGTACGTTCTTCTCCCTCTTTAACTAAATGAGCATTCAATCCCATCTGTTTTGACCTTTCATGCATCAGATATCTACTTGATTTTCTTTAACTGTTTTCCCCTTGAGTGTTTTGCTTCATTTACTTTTCATAGCTATTTAGCTAACAGTACTACATAAAAAATGTACTGATGACTTTATTAAATGTAACATATGTTAAGTTTCCAGTCATCTAGATGCTCTAGTGCTGTAGGAAAACAGTAAGCGCAAATAAGAACGTTCATCCATCTGCTATCATTGGATTACATTTTGTTAGTGACTTATATTATTTCTTCATAATGAATGCTATTGCGCATTTTGTTCCTACAGGAATTTTTGTAAAGTATATTGGAACATTTTAGAAAATTAATAACACAACAATGATGAATGGATGATTTTCCATGCGGTTTGAAATAGCAGTCTCAGATTGATTAGGCAGTATAGGAAAGGAGTGGTAAAAGTATTGCTGAAAAGGGGTAGTTTGTAGTGTAATGCCAAATCAGCGCTCTTTAAAATTTCAAATGGGAAGTTATGGTCTAATCAAAATCTTCCTAGCTTACTTATCAACCACAAGCAGCTTATTATTGAGTGCCAATATTTGGTTGTTTTTTCCATACAGATTTCTGTTGAACTGCATACTTATTCTTTTACCCATTCACATGGTCAATAAGAAGGAGAGGTGGAGAGAAAGTAAAAAAAAAGTTAGATCTTTTTCTCTTATTTGTTATAAAGATGCATAATTGTATTTGCATATGGTAGTTAAGCACCAATTCTAATAAAGAAAATTCTTCTATTTTCCTTTAATTTTTAAGCACTTTGTCTCTTTATAGCTGATTATAAATTTGGTATATTATCTTCTTTATTTTTTTTCTCTTAGATTTATTTTTCTCCTTGATTTTTCCTTCTCTGCGCACCTATATAATGTCCTTTCTTTAGTTCTTTTCATTTTAATTTCAAATTTATTTTGTTTCATTATTTTCTGTCTTATTCTATTTGTGTCTTTCTCCTCTTGAATGTCCTTTCCTTTGTCTCTTTGGTTTGCATTGGCCTTTCTGTTTTCTCTTTCATACTCATTAACACTTACTTTCTTGTTTCCCCTTTTATTATCCCCGATTAATTGAAATAACAGTAATGCAGCTCTAAACACGTTGAGGTCACTCCAAATCTTCCATTAGCAATCATTCTTCAGACATGTAGCTTGACTTTACTTCTTCCTGTAGACAGTATCTCACTGCAGCAATTTTCATCTAAATTAGCTCAAATATTGCTTTTCTCCTAAATATGTGAAAACTCTAAAACAACCAATCATTAAAACCTTACATACCTTCTAGCCGTACTATGTTTCCTTCTCTAAACGTATGTATGTACTGAGACTTTATATATTTGGTAAATTTTCTACAGGGATATTCTCTGCTTTTTAAATCGATCTACAAATGGCTTCTTGTTGATTTTTTTCACATTTTCATTAAGAAAAATGGACCAAGGTGATGTAAGAATAGATGTCTTTTAGAAAAGCCAAGAAATGCCACAAGACTTTTTTTTGACTGTCACCTTTAATACTTAGGTAAGAGTGTAAATATAGAAACCATAACCTTGTGATTTGAAAGGGTTTCAAAGTTTTTAAAGGTATTTTCTCAAAGTTTTTAAAGGTATTTTCTTTTTTATTAAAGTTCACATTGAACTATAACATACCAGCTAGTTTTTCTGGATGAGTTTTTATTTTCTTTTGTAAGATAGAAATAAAACTCTGTTGACAATCTGAAGCTAAGTAGCAAGGGAAAAAAAAGGAAAAAAAATGAAATAAACTATTAATCAGTTTCTGACGTTTCTTGGGAATTATCATCAAATAAAAAACAAAAAGAAATTTTTCAAAGTTCTAAGACTTTTTTCTTTGATGATGTTATCTTGCGCTCCTACATAATCCAGTACTTTTCAGAAGTGTAGCCTTAACTGAAAAATAGCAAGCTTCTCAGCAATAGCTGTATTTTCAGATCCATGCATCACTGTATTTAGAGTTAGGTAACTATTTCAACGTTCCTCTTAAACGTTCTAGGCTTCATTGGGCAAGCATTAAGGTTATTTTCCATGAGCAGCTACATTCATGATATTCCACTGCCACACTACGGCATTATTGCTTCTTATATTAACGTTTAACTCAGAAAGGAAGCATGCAGTCTTACTTCATAATTTTATATTTTCTTAACATAACCGTATCTAAAATTTGAAGGGACATGTTGTAATACTGTTAGAACAAAGTTGTGTATGAGTGAAACAGCATTTAATTCTACTACAAAATAGAGCACCTATCCTTCTCATATGGTAAAGCTTATGCAAAAAATGTATAAACTCTCAAGGAATCAATGTGATAAAGACACTTTGTTAACAATGGCAAAGGTGAGTGTACAGAAAGCTATTTGGTTTCAGATAAATCTTGTAATTTATTCAGATGTCTCTCTTAAGTGGTGTATGTCACAGAAGTTCTACTATGTTCAGCTTTTGAGTGTCTTAAAGGTAAAGTAGAATCCAGAGTACTGGCTGTACTATTTTAGTACAACTAGTTTTTCTGCCATTTAAAATGAGAGTCTGCTGAAACATTTATAGGTGACTTTTAAAAAGGTGATTGATTATCTTTGGAACATAATATGGTTGGATTAACCATATAGAACACCTGGTTTTATGATATGCTTAATTTTTACATGTTACATTCTACCTTTCCTCTATGCCTGGGGCAGGCACACAGCACACTAGAATGGGTATAAGTTTGCTGCCTGGAATAGGATCAGTATTCAGAAAACCTGTACAATATAGATTATGTCTCCTCAAGGACTTCTGACACATTGGAATGGTTAAAAGCTTTAAGAGTGTGATAGCAGCGGGAAGGTAATTTAGAATAATGGGATGATATATCTAAACCTAAGACACTCTTCCCTGTGGAAAGATTTGACCTATTCAGGTCTATCTTATGCCTCACTGGAAAAATGAGCTTTAATTTGCAATGACTTTGTTTTGCAGGTCATACATATGGGATGGGTAAATGAGAGATTCGAAGGAACTGATTCATCTCAGCTCTACAAATTCAAGTTTCTGGCACTGAAGGGTTCATCCTTCTACATTTTCAGCACTCCACCGGTAGATGAAAACGAAAAAAAAAAAAAAAAAAAAAAGCCTTTCTGGAGATGATTCACGGTAGATGGAAACCTGTTTGTTATGTCTAGTTTTTTTTTTTTTTTTTCCTACCCAGTAGAGTTATCAGCTGAAATTTCAAAAGCAGTTAAAGCCATAGATGCCACTGTACTTCAATAAGCTTTAGATATCTAACCTCTTTCAAGGTCCTTTGAAAATTTTACCATATCTCAAGGAATTCTTAATAGGAAAATTTTTTTTTACTTCTTTAAGTTGTTAAGTTCAGATTCTTTTCTGGTTTTGGTTATAGCCAAAATTTCTTATCTTACATTTATTCTGAGGCATTTTTCCAGGTGCCTCAGAATAACATGGTAGTTATTCTGTTTTCTTAAAGACATTCACATCATGAAATATACCATTCATACTAAAGTTGTGAATTTTGCATACGGGCTAGAGATTGAACAATTGCAGACAATCCAACCCTAAATGTAGTTTGAATGAGTGACAACATCCTGCTTTGATTATTTCCATATCTAGGAGCTAGAATTGTATTTCACAACAGATGACTTAATCTAATACTATTGTAAAACACTAGAAATTAATTTAAAAGAATGGAATATAAGTGAACTGCAGAATTCGGAACTCTTAAAAATGGCCCCTAAATAACACAGGGAAACTTGTTATGCTCTCCTTCTCCTTTCAGAGAGCCATTGCTTTAAATACACCACAAAGAACAAAATGTAGAATTAAAATACGTTCACAACTAAACAGCTTTCTTAATTCTTGATCGGAAAGTGTTCATTCCTCTGATTTCTTCTGCTGAAGCAAAAGAAAATCTAATCTTTTCATATGTGTGCAACCTACCAAACCTCTGTGAAGTACTTATTCTCTGAACCTTATTTATGAACCTTAGACAGAAGCAATCAATAACATTCTCTCTCTAGACTGAAATTCTAAACCCAGTGATTCCTATTAACTACTAACAATTTTCAATAGCCATAATACTTCTCCTAAAATGAGAGAATACATCTGGAAAAAGCTTTTTTTTTCTTCCTCTGCAAAAGAATATTCATGTTTATATATTAAGTTGAGGAACTAAAAACTTATTCAATTACTAGAATCCAATTGTAGTGCAAAAAAATATATATATATTAAGCAAATAAACAGCACACCAAATATTTATTTGGCTTTACCTTTATGAATTTTAATTATGGCGTTCAGACCTGTTTTTGAAGGAAAATTTTTGATATAATTAAAACTATCCATCTACACGATACCAATTGAGGATAAACTGCTTCATTTACTATATTCAGCACTCTACTAAGAACAGGCAAGTGAGGATAAACATATGGCAGCATTTCTACCATCTTATTTGTCAGTATCTACTACACTCTACAGTGTTTCTGTGCAAAAAATTTGTGGAAACAATGGCTTTTCAAAAAAAAAAAAGAACAAAGGTGACCCCTTTGCTCGTTGTGTTATGTCACAGTATGATCCCAGTAATAAGATGCACTTAAGTGTACAATATCAATAACAGAACACATATATCCTAAAACCCATTGACTAATTTTCCTAATATTTATAATCATACCACAAATGTTTTATATCAGGAAATTAAAAAAAAAAAAAAGGAAATTGGTAGTTACAAACAACCACACACATTTGGAATTCAAACCTGGATTTCAAGCCACCTTTTCAAGCTGGCTGGGCCTGCCCTGGCTGCCTCCAGTGCCCTGCTCTCTCAGGGTGGGGGGACGGGCCCTGGCATCCCTGTTCTGCTGGCAGCCCCCATTGATACCAGCCCTGGGGAGCCCCCAGCCCATAGGGCATCCTGACACTGGTTCTATATTGCATATCCAAACATGAATAACTTCATAGCTTCAAATATACATCCCCACAAGAAGCCTTACACTACTTTTAGTGATATTTAATTGTGCTGCTCTTATCATTATCCCCATTATTTTTTTTTACTACATTAAGTGAACGATAGCAAATGAACTGTTCTACCACAAAAATATTACTGCTGTTACTTGCCTGATCTTTAGATGCTTGCCATTCTGTTTTATTTCAGATAAGGTTCTCTGGTGCTATGCTATTCTCAACGCAGCACTGTAGTGTACATGACGTAGATGATCTACAAATCATAAAGTTAGTTGTAATGACCTTATCCATAACTTATAATTTCTTATAAAAACATCTGATGCAACTTTTACTCTATTTCTTTGTGTATAAGAGATCATATGGGGATGAATACAGTTTCTAACTTTCAACAGAATAAATATACAGCTACCAATGGGCAAAATTTAAGAAAAGCACAGAACAAATGTGGATTTTGTAATTTCAGAGAAACTACAATAGAGAGTTGTTTTCTACTTATACTCTATTTAAAGAGTTTCTCAGATGATGCTTCCAAAAATGTGGAAGCGTCCTGGTAAGAAAAAATATCAAGAACAGAGTTGCTTACTAGAGTAACAACAAAAACCAGCTAGCAACTGAACTGTGATGTGTAGATCAAGGAGTTGTCTAGCTCCATGATGAAGAACAAGTCATTTTTTAAGAGGCTTTATGATGTCTTCTGTCCTCTTCAGGAAGAGGCGTTATTTAACATCTTCCATGCTGGAAAAAGATCATAGACTTGTTTAACTATAATAGGCACATTTTCAAGTGTTTCTATTTTCAGTTGTGAAAATTTCGTTTTCATGGTTTGTCAACGTGAATTGATGACAGGTTCTACATTTACATAGAGATATTCACGCAGAGATACAAAACCCAGCACCTGTTCATAAGGAAGGGGAATATTGTCACATATATTTGGGATGGTGTGTACAGCTGTATCTATACGCAGAAGAGTTTTATATACAGAAATTGGTGATGGATTGAAACACTTTTACATTCAGACCTAACAATAGTAATCAAGGATGGACTGAAACACTTTTACATTCAGACCTAACAATAGTAATCAAAATATGTCTTTTAGGTAAATATACCTATGACTTATAGGTCATAACCTATGACACTTCCCATCATAGCTTTAATATCTGTAAGAGATAATTCAGTTTAGTATCAGATTTAGCAATGTAGTATTAAAAAGTCATTTTTTTGTGTCACTAGACGCTGTATCAAAAATAATCAAAATAATAATCTCCTATTTTCCTGTTTTAAGTAGAAGTAAAATTTACATGACTTCTGCACACTTTCCTCTTCACAGTCGTCTTCTCTAGCCCTAGAAATGCATCTTTTCTGTAGTTTAGAGAGATGCATAGACCTAGATGACTGTGTTCCCAGAGTTTAAATAGCTTGCACTGTGAAAGGTCAGAAAGCAGTTGCATGGAAACTGACCTATAACTGGAGACTGAACTGAAGAATGTGTAGTTTGTGTTTATAAGGTATAAGTGTGGATCTACTGCCTGTGTTTACTTCATCCATTTCAAAGATTTCCTCTTATTGTTTTTATGTCAATCTGCTTAGTTAATTTTACACTCTGTAACAGAATTCTCATTCACTCACTTTAGTATAATTAGTTTGAGAGTATATAAGTCATTCTGGATCAAGATCACTCCTGAATAAAGCCAGTGAGCTTATGGTGAAGTTGTAGCTTGAATACCAAGACTAGAATACCTGTAATGTCTATACTGCAGTCTGATCTACCTGAGAAGTGTTTATTGAGGTTCTTGTTTTATGCAACAATATCAGAACAAAACTTGGCAGATTTCGAGAAACTAGATTTTAGATTGCACTTATGGAAAATGGATAAAGATATAGTAGGTGCTGTAAATATTACAGAGAAGATAACTCAAGGGGCAACAACTCTTTGAGTCATTGCCAAAATAAGGTTTGTCAATTCTTCTGTAATCGTGGCTGGCTCTAGGGGATAATTAAGGGCTAAAAATGAATGCATTTTTATTGCAGCTGATGGAGTCTGAATTATTGCCCTCTAGATGTTACAATATGTAAATAAACTTAGCAAGCAGATGTGATTACCAAGTGTGTTCTGTAAGCTACTATTATGCTGTTTCCACTCATAATTATATTTACTGTAAAAATATTTTAGTTCAGTTATATCAAAGGAATTCTGGGAGATATTCTTTTTTTGTAACATAAAAAAGAGTGGAAATTTATTCCAAGAATTTAAACATGACCAATAAAGAAAACCTTCTTGTTATCCCATCATATAGAAAATTTGATTTAAAATTTAAAAATTCTTAAATAGCTATATTAATAATCAAGTCTTTCTTTTAAAATTATTATGAAGACTCCATCCTCAAGATTTCTTTCTAGGCTGTAGATATATATGGATAGATAGATAGATAAACAAAGGAAAAAATGTGGTGATTATTACAGGTATATATAAATTAAAATAATTCCTTCTCTGTAGCATTCATTTTGATCCTAAGGCAATATACTAGACATCTAAGAACTAATGCATAATCAGCAACCTACAGCCTGTTCTCAAATCAGTCTGAAAACCGAATTTGCTGCATGATGTAGACATTCATTAACTTCAAGACAAGAAATTCTTCAAGGCAAAAAACCAGTTAGTTTGAGTTTGGCAGATAATCACCTCTTCTGAAACAACTAGGAAAGTGGAAAGTGAATATGAATATTACTTGATATGACAATAGTGAAGGCCCTCAGGAGACGAACTGCCAGATGTTTTAAAAAGAGTTATGTTTGTCTAGAGGAAGCAGTCTCTCCATGTCTCATTTAGATAAATGCATTAATCATAGTCTATTATATACAATAGCACATCTAGAACCATATCCTGTGTTATATTACTGATTCTGTGATCACCTACCTGTATCTTTGTTATCTGCCATTAAATGCTATTTCAGCCTCTGCTCATCAGTGGTCACTGGACTCTCCTTTAATTTTCCTGAAGTAGTATCACTGATAGTCACTGCCTTTGAGGGTTTTTTTCTTATTAGAAGTATTTAACAACTTTCAGGTCAATGCAAACTTTAAAACTGAGGCACAGATTACATTTTGTATAGAAATTTCAGTGACTTGTAACTTGAAATTAGCAAAATAGCTGAAGCCAAATACATTATTGCTTATTTATATTGCTGTAGTTCATAATAATTATAGTCATGAACTTCTATATCAGTGTTTTGTTGCCGTTCAGAGAAGGTTCAACAAAAAGATCTCTTCTCCAGCAAACTTGAAATGTAAGTATTAGGAAACAGATATGGAGACAAGGGAATATAAAAGGACCAATATAAAATTGGAAATAACCCATAACCCAAATTCGTAGAAGTATTAGTAAAAAATTTCCTAATAGTTTACAAGTGGAAAGTAGATGGAGTAATGTAGAATGTTAGTGATGAAAAGAAGTGGAGTGGATGTGTTTGTGAGGTAGTGAGAAAGGAGTTTTCTGAACTTTTCACAGAAGCCAAGAATGCCAAGGAAAGTATTTTTCTTTTTTTTTTCTTTTTTTTCTTTTTTCTTTTTTTTTTCCAGCCAACATACATGTCTGTGAAACAGGACATATACTCTTTTTGACCTCCCCAAGGTCAAAAAAACCTCCTAGATCAGGTCATTGATTATAATTCACCTGATGAAGCTCAAACATTAAGGCTATTTGACAAAGAATGTTCTGCCTGCATCCCTGAAGTGACTTATCTGACTGTATTTGACAGATTTACAGATTTAATTCACAGATTGCCATGTCTGAAGTTTAAAATTAGGGCATACTTTTCAAACTATCAAATATGAAAAAATCCATGTCATAAATAGAAATTTATTTTTAAGGCTATGTTATTATACAAGCTTTATTTTATTACATTCTGAAAGGGTCTGATAGATTTCTGTCAGCCTTTAAATCTTGAAAAAGTTCTGAATTCATATCCTAGAAAAAATTGGGAAAACATTATTCAGTGAACAAAATTTGCAAAAATATTTATTTAATAACAATCTACTTGAGATTTAATTGAAAATTTCCAGAAAAAATGTTTTATAGTCATAGAATAAGTAAGTACTGTAACTGTGAGGAGGTTGTACTGTTTCATTTGTCATATCTTCCTCTTCCTCACAGTTTAATATCATTTTTTAGCTTCCAGTTTTAAAATAAACATATCTTTGGAGCTGTTGTGGCATCTTTAATTACTAGATGTTTTCTGACATGATTGACCCAAAAGTATTTCATTGTTCTATCTTTACTTTTTAAATTTTTTTAGATGGATTGGATAGTTCTGCTTAATTGTCAGATAATGAAGCTCCTCTGTATTCCAGTAATAAGTATTAAAGTTATTTTGATTTTATCCCAAAGTTTTATTCTTTAAATATATTCAAATTTGTTAAGATTATTTAGGTGCTGTAAATTTCTAGGATCAGATTCAGTGTTCACAGAAGTCATACAGTATGTTGCCTTTGACTTCAGTGAGTTTTAGATTAGGTCTAGATATAGTATTGCTACAATTTTTAGTTAAGTGTGATACTCCCTTATAGGCACCTCAAAATTATATTGACTGTATTTCCTTATGTTCTATGTCTATAGCATAATTCTTTAGTGTTATCTCTGAATAAGCATAGAAGTCTGTTTTGTTGGGTGTCATTACAGAATTCTCTTCTAAGGAATAACTTGTTCAGTTTGTTGTTTCCTATATGTATTGTATGCATATGTCAACATGATTTTAATTTTATTGCTTTCTCTCTCCTATTTTAAAATATTAACTGTATTTTTAAGAAAAAATTGATGAATTATGTGCCTGTTTAGAGGTAAGCAGATTATGAATATGGGCATTCTTCTGAACTCATATTGAGATCACTTGATCTATATCAAGTGATATAGATCACTTAAAACAAGGAGACTTGAATAATGTAGTTTAGTTTCTTAAATCCATTAGAATGCCTTTTTTAAAAACATGAGGACCTCCCAGGAACTCATACTGAAGTAAAAAGTACCTGTTAAACTCTTAGCACTTCTGAAACTCAAGTCAGTTATTCCAGTGTCTCTTTATGGATTTAGAGTTGTAACTTCAAGTTATATCTTAGTTCATTTGTATATTCCCTGCGATCCTGTGGGTGTTCACGCAGCCTTTCATCTGAGCTCAGTGTCACCTGCCAATTTATGAATGTGTTATTTAACTCTCTTTCTGAAGGAATGAATATAACCAAATATCTGCAAAACCAGTATTCAATAATCTTTACAATTTTTCATTAGATCTAATGCACTGAGTTAGCTAGGGAGTTGGCTGTACACCTAAAAAATGCTCAGCAATACCATTCTTTCTAATACTATATAATTAGACTTTCACCATATTGTTGTGAATAACAGCATTAAGCTAGCCTTGGTTATAAATTCGTGTATTAAACAAGAGTTAGATGGAATCTGACTGAATAACTACTGCGTATTCTCATATATTTTCACAATATTATTTACTTTTTGCCAGACCTAAATTCATATGAATGAAAGTATGTCTCAATCTTAACTGACCCAGTCTGAATATAACTTTTTGAGATATTTCGTCAAATGCTTTATTAAAAAGTAAATATCTTGTAATTTTAAAATAATTCTAAAATATTGCAATATATAGCATATTTAGAGAACAATTCCAAAAGACAATAATGAGGAAAACTTCTTTATTGCGTAAGGAATACATTTCAATACATCATTTATCTTAGACCTGCTTATTAAATGTGTTATGATGGATATGCCCGTGATAAACTGAGACATCCTTTAAAACAAATGAACTGTATTCTACTTTTGGTGACCTCTTCTGGTTCTTTCCAGCTTTTCTCATTGACCAGAAATATATGATTACTTGTGATATTTTCAAAGGAAAGCAGACTATAACAATACCATTTTAAACTTAGACATTCTAGATAGTTCTAAGGAGAAAACTATAAATAATGTCAACTGTCCCTTTGGATTCCAACATATCATTGTATTATGTTTGCTTCCCTTCCTTAACATCCCTCAAAATGTCATTTGTGTTCTCCTGATAACCTTACACACTATGATATTCAGACTATTTCACTCTTGGCCATAAGTATGGTAGTTTTTCCTTGATATACACAGCAAAAGAAAGACTTGGCTTATACAGGTGCTGATTGTGATATATCATCCTTTGCTATCTCTGCTCAAAAAGTCATAAGATGTTACAGGGAGTCAAAGGATGAAAGAGATCCACAGGATAATGGGGGAAATTCTGAAGTATTCATAGTGAACTTAGTGGCATAGCAGTGTTACCATTGTCCATGGCAGCATCATTATTAGTAGCAAAGAAACCTAGCAGTTTAAATTAATCTTCAGGAATCAAAATGAAAGATAGGACCAAGTGAAAATTCAGTTGTCTAGACAGCTTTTAAGTTATACCCTGTCTCTAAGTTCAGTTTCATAAACAGCAGATTAAGCAGGTGCTTCTGCTCTTATATCTTGTCTAGCCGCTAATAGGAATGGAGAATTCTCGTGCTTTTAACTGAGAATGTAAAGAATTTTTTTTCCTTCCGGAAACTCAAGACCAGATAATGAACTAGCCATCACTTTGCTATAAATCTCATTGTACAAGAAGGATTAAGATCTTTTGAGAGTCAAAAATAATGGGCCGGAAACTTCAGTCACATTCTCCGTACGGCTGTACAGCCAGCCATACCTGTGCATTCACCATGAAAAAAAAAAAATAGATTTTGCTCTAATTAACATAATGAAAATAATGTATATTTGCGTTATATTTTTTATATTTAGAAGTTCATATATTTTTTCCTGAACAGCATAGGCTAGATTCTATTTTTAAAATAAGCAGATAATAACATTATGCCATGACCTAGACATTAGGGAGAAAAACTTCAAATATCGTTCTAACTGTCAGACTATAGCAGCCTTTAATGTCAACAGAATACTGTAGCAAAATCAAAAGAAAACAAAAAATTCAGTGATTCAATGTGTTTTTAGTATTAAGAAATATACACACACAGCTGACATTATTTCTAATGTCAGATATTGTAAACATACAGCCCTTTTCATTTTTAATATAAAATTAAGGTCCTCGTCTTCCAGTGTATGTAAACTCAAAGCTGAATTTAGGATCACATCTTGGGCTATTGATTTAAGATTTTTATTAAATTGAGGAGTATATTTGAATGACTCTGAATTTGAGAAATTTTTCTGTGTTAGCATTTTGTAAAATAAATATGCCTCACCACAGACATTACAAAGAGGTTTCCATCATGCTGAAGTAATAATAGGAAAAATTGCAATTATTTAATATGTTTTAATTTTAATAAGAATCCTGTAAGTTCTATTTCTTTAAAAATGAAATGTTTTTTGGCAGTCTTTTTTAAATGCTGGGTATTAAGTGTAGTAACATTTGAATATTTTTAAAGTGTCCAATAGAATAAACATTAGTGAAATCGTTTTTATATTTCATCTTTTCATAATTTTAATAAAAAATAAGTAAAGAAAAATATGTTTTTAATATTTTCTTTTGGTATTATAGGTAAGCACACTAGACTGGGTACGAGCTGAAAAAATCTATAACCTCTGTGAGGTTCTATTTAAAATTCACAAGGTAGGTTTCCCAGAAATTACAATTATACTGTTTAGTAAAGAGAGTTTGCCTTTTCAGGTTAATGATGATCTCAAGTTAATCTTAACTGGTAGCAACTAACATTTAAATAGTTTATCTGTTGTTATAAAGCCTATTCTTAAGTAGCAGTTGTTGCATTATCTATGGAATTATAAGAGACTATTGCAAATGGATTAGGCTCCAAGTGAGCGACTTCCAAATTGGAGGCGTTTTTCAATATTACAGCCAGGCGTGTGAATTACAAATGAAACAAACAGCTAATCATGAAGAAGCTGGATATTGCCTTCCTCTTTAGTGAGTCAGATTTTTAGGTGAATATGACAAAAAAATGCATTATTTGTAATTTATGACCTAGGTAGAGGCACTTTTATTAAATTTGCCTAATACGGAGTATAAAATTCTGTCCTTGTTAGACTGTGAATAATTTGCTAACACTGTAACTGGCTTTACCTTTCAGAGTACAACATGGTGCATTCTTATACTGTAGACTATTTTTTTCACAGTCCGGAGACTTCAGTTTTATCTCTTCGGCTTGTCCTGAAGAATGGGTTTTGGCAAAACATTAGTAGTTTGTTTATAGAATTGACTTATGAAATATATTTTTATAATAAGTTCCATCAGATTAACTTAGTTCTTTACCAGCTAATCAGAAACTGCTTTGCAGGTGAGAGAAATAGCTTCATTATCATCCTTTTAGACAGGGAACAAGCATAGGTATATTAAAAGTATGCTTGTAGAGTCCCAGAAGACTGAAAGTAGAGCCAGAAGACGACTATAATTCACCTGAGTCCCCGAACGATACCGTAACTGTGAAATTATACTTTCCGTCACTGTATTTGCAAGCTGTAAAGTTTACACAGGATGGTGTCCAGAAAGACAGTAGAGGTACCAGTTTGTGACAATCCAAATCTGAAGTTAGCTGGAAAAACTTATCACTCTCACATTCTATGTAAGTGCTTTAACTACTAGGCTACTTGCTGTTGGAAATAAATCAATAAATGTCATCCTAAATAAGAGATATTTGTAAAAAAAATAAAAATGAACAAATTCTCAGAAAAAAGTTTTCAGTAATTCAGTCTTTTTTTTCATGACATGCTTTTTCATTGAAAAATTCCAAACCATCTGAAACCAATTCTGACCAGCTACTGACCCTCTCCTTGCTCTTCTTCCTTTAACTGTGTGCTAATGTTGTAGAGAAGAAAGGTTGGTCTGTTATCTGTGCATATCCTAGGTTAACATAGCTGCAGAAGGAGAACAGTAGCTGTCTGACTTAAGTTCCATTAGTGCAAGAAAGTGCTAGTTATGGATGCTTCTCTGATACAGCATATTATTATTCAGGACAAGTTACAGAAGGAAAAGATCAAAAAAATATATCTTTCAGAGAGATGACAATAACATTCAATCGCCCTTTTCTGCCCTACTCTGAAGGGGGTTCTCACAGTAAATGACCAAATTCTTTAAAGAATGAGTGGACAGATATGGATAGATACTACATCTTGACCACTCAAACTATTTGTTCCAAACTGGGTTTCAGGAACATGGCCACATTTTATACACTTTTTGTGCAGATAATGACTAAAAAAAAAGAAGATCAAACTTGAAAGTTTGGTCAAACTATAGCCTACAGAGCATTGAATACATGAGCTGACAGAAAACTAAAAAAAATTCTTAAATATGTGCTGACATCTGCATTTTACAGAGGTGTCATTCCCCTTAGTTGACAGCGAAAGGAGCCTCTACTGATGTCAGTTGCCAATTTTGCTGTTGTGAATGAAAAGTTCAGCAGTTCCAGCCCCTCAGCCAGGAGGAGGAGGTTCCTTCACTGCCATTTTTTTCTCTGCTGTAAGCCTGCTAAGAGTGAATGGGGAGAAAGACTTCCTTCTCTGTCAAAAGGAGAGGCTTGGCCAGAGTCATGCCAAGAAGTGAGCAACCCTATAATTTGGGAGTAAAGCTCAGCTCTGGAGTGCCAGATGCAGGAGCACAACCCTATTGTGAGCAAGGTATTATTTTAATGTGACCATGTCTCCAACTGGGTGTGCACAGATAACTTCAGATTCTGCCCATCACTGCAGCAAAGGGCAGAGGCTCTGTCTCAGATTATTCATTCTATCTCCTTAAACTTTTATTGAAACTTATATTTTCCAGATGAATAAATTAGGCAGCAATGAAGTAGGTATCTACTCATTACACCTTTTGAGAAGGGTTTGCTGTATAGTGGGCATTGGTTTTGTTTTCTTTCCTGTAAATGTTACTACTTATTTCATACTCAGTCCTCCCTTGAATATTCTGGTAAGGTTAATTTCAAGGACATCACAAGAATTTACTTAAAGTAAATTATGTGGTACATTTTCATTAAGAAAAAGAAGTAGGAACTAAGCTACCCAAGATTCAGCTCTTAATGTTCTTCACATTTTAATAAATGAATGCTTAATTCCAATTCTTCATGAATATATTAGCTGACTTACAAAAGCGTAAACTCAACACTTAAACGTCTTTTCTGTGGATTCTTTAGTATACATAACAAATGAAGGAAACTATGAATCAATAATGGCGGACATAATTCTTAAGAGAGTAAAGCTTTTACATTGCAGACTAAAAGGTGGAGTTTGTGTTATAAAGACTACAGTTTTGGGAGAACGCTTTTAAAGATTTTCAAAAACTAGTTAGAACTACTGTAAAGACATAATGGAGAATATTGTATCATTTTGATTCTTAAGAAAGATGGTTCTTAAGGCAAGGTCACTTGTTACACATCTGATTGTAAGCTTCTCACATATGTCAGTTATGACATAAGAGTTAAACATGGAAAATAAGAATTCAATATAGAAATTAGATTTTAACACAAAACTTGCTATATTTTAGATTTGTGTGTGTGTTTACATATGTACACATACACATATATGCACATGTGCCAATACAAGCATACATATGCACATATGTGAATGAATATTCATATTTCACACAGAATCACAGAATCACAGAATCTCAAAATGGCCAAGGTTGGAAGGGACCTCTAGAGACCATCTAGTCCAACCCCCCTGCTCAAGCAGGGTCCTCTAGAGCTTATTTCCCAGGATCACATCCAGGCGGGTTTTGAATATTTCCAGCAAAGGAGACTCCACAACCTCTCCGGGAAACCTTTGCCAGTGCTCAGTCATCCTTACAGGAAAGAAGTTTTTCCTCATGTTCAAAAGAAACTGCCTGTGGTTCAATTTATGCCTGTTGCCTCTTGTCCTATCAGTGGACACCACGGAGAAGAGTCTGGCCCTGTCCTCTTGACACGCTCCCTTCAGATACTTGTACATGTTGATCAGGTCACCTCTCAGTCTTCTCTTCTCCAGGCTAAACAGGCCCAGCTCTCTTAGCTTTTCCTCCATAAGAGACATGCTCCAGTCCCCTCATCATCTCTGTAGCCTCTGCTGGACTCTCTCCAGTAGCACCATGTCTCTCTTGTACTGGGGAGCCCAGAATATTTCACATTCTTACACTTGAATATACATGGACATTTAGTGGTAACAACCAGATAATTGAAAGTCTGATCTCGTTTATCTCATATTTTCCCCCTACACCTTAAATGATACTCCATATTTACTGGAGCTGTTATTGAAAATCTGTATTATTCAGAGGCAAGAACATTAGATACTTTTTAAAAATCAATCTACCTTTAAAACATTTCATTTTCTTCTAACATACAGTGTTTCCACACATCACGTTTTCACATTCAATCAAAGTAAAAATAAATATATATTTGTTTAAGAGCCAGAATGAGTGTTACTTAGTCTTAACTAAGGCTAATAATGTAGACTTAACATCTATTACCCCACGGCTGCTGAAAAACAGATAACACTTGGGAACATAGTAGAATCTCTGCTCAGCTTCTGTTTCACCAGTCCAAAAAAGCGTGGTTAAATCAGTTTGAACTGCCTCAAGACCAATCTCTCCCAGAACAGCTGCAGGGCCATTTTTGACAATGATGTGCAGTGTACCCTGGTGGTACCTTGGTTCCATGCCGCCTCTGAGGTGCCCCCTAGAACACCCACAGCACACACCACAGCTTAGATTTGAATAAAGTGCTTAAGGTTAGATATGCTAGCTTTATGTTACTTAGTAGTTCACCAGTACTAGTAAAATTTTCAGTTTTGGTCTCGTGTATGAATATAGGAGCAGTACATGGAGGAGAATGTGCTAGCAGAGCAGTTTTTTTCCTCTGGTTTCTACTACTGAAAAGGGAACCTTCACTGCTCTGTGAAGATGGTTGTGTATTCATCTAGAACAGGAAGGACACAGAACTCTAAACTTTTAAACATCTATTTTATATATGCCATTATAGGTTATATTTAGATATTCAAATCCCAGTTGTTATTTGCTTATTTACTTGTTTTCATATGCATGGAGTTACAGGTCCAGACTTTTGTAGGCTATGATAGACTATTATAAGTCTTGGAAAAATGAATGCAAAAATCTTTAAAACACTCATTCTGACTACAAGATTCTAGGACTCGGGTACAAAGCTGCATTCTGGTCTTTTAAAGCCACCTATGTCTGGTTCAGTATCTGCTTTTACCCCAAATCTGGTTGACTAGAGACCTCTCCTAGACCCAAAAAAAAAAA